CGACCTCATGTGTAGATCTCAGTGAACAAAGTGTATCAAAAGATGCGCAGTGCGCCAACCAATTGTCAAGAGGCAAAAAATGAGCCCATAATGTTTAATGCTTTCCATTCATGTACATCTTAAAAGCTTAAGAAAACCCTTGATACTTTCGATACTTGAGTTTGAAAATCTTGATTCTTGATTCAACAATTCGTGCATTAATCTTCTATTACATATATTTTATGGAAGGAGTTTTTGAAAAATGATTGTTTCGTTCTCTAATTTATTCCTTGATTTTGATATTGAATTAAAAAATTTTTTAGCCTTTTTAAAAGAACTTGAGTTTGGATTATCAAATTCTGAATTTCTAACCTTTTCTGGGCTATTCGTTGTCAATCCAATTCTACTAAGTTTTTTTATTAAAACTAAGAGGTAACTTTCTCATTTTAAGAATATTTGCTTTTTCACTAGATCAGGGAACATTTTTTTTTCTTTTGTTCATTTTCTTTTTTTTGTGCCTCCTCTCTTTTTGATAATGTTAAAAGGGGGAGAACGTAAGGTTGAATTTGTATCCTTTTTTTTTCTTTTAAAAAAATTAAAAATAACAAAAATATTTTTTATCCCCCTTTTTTTTTTAAAAGGGTTTATTCTAGTGAGGGAGAGATTAGGAGAAATTACTTTTTTTTTTTTAAATTAAAATTGAATTGTTTGCCATCGTCAAAAAGGAGGAGATTGTTGCAGATCAATGTTTTATGATTTTGATGATAGCAAATATTCTTATTTCTCTACGACTGCTTTATGTACTGACATTTCAGGTCCACACAATCAGACTGCAATTTGGAACCAGCTCAAGATTTGGTAGACTAGGTCTGAGTCAGTTTTTACTCTTGTTCCTTTCTTGAGTCTATTGTGTTTGGTGTGGTACCGGATGATTTGTAAACTTGGAAGATGTTCTATTGTACCCTAAAGATTTCTATTTTTGGTAACATTGTCCGGGATGATATTTATATCGTCCGGGATGTTATTTATATCATCCGGGATGATATTTATATCGACGATCTGTCCAAAAACAGAAACCCTAATTAGGCCATCCTCATTAAGGCAGCCGTCAATAGCTGATCGGCCTGGACGATACTTGTATCGGCGAGGATGATAGTCTCAATTCAGAAAGAATCAGCCGCCATAATCAATTTAGGTATTATTTATTTTAGGAAATCTGCCAGGACGATATTCTTATCGTACAGGATGATCTAACTCAATTATGCCTAAATTGATTTGGTATCTTTGGAAAGCATTAATGGTTGATTGATACGATCACATCATCCATGACAATCATAGTATCGGCCGGGACGATGTCCTGGATGATTTACATCGGATAGCTCGAATTTAGGGCGATGCTCTGGATGATTGAAATCAGTTTTAAACTAATCGACCTGGACAATCGTGATATCAGACAGGATGATGTAACCAATTTTCTTCTGATCGTCCCAGGCTGATGAGTTGAATTTATACTGATTGGCCAGGATGATATAACTATCATCCTAGATGATAATGTCGGCAACTTCCATTAATGAGCTTATTTTGAGTTTTTCTATTTAAGCTTTGTCAAGACACTTTTGTAAGTGTCTTTGGCAGCCATTGTAGCTTCATTCTTGTGGGGGAAACTTGAAGAGAAAGCTTGAAAGGGAGTGAGGAATGGGTGAAGTCTGAGAGAGGGAGAAGATCCTATGAGGGGGGACTCAAGGGACTGTGGAGGGGGATTCCACATGGTTGCTCCGGCAGGCTTGCACCATAATACCGTTGGATTCAAGGCTTGTCTCGAGGGAAGTTCACCAAAGAAGAAGATCTCTTTGGTGTCAAAGGACCCGGCGACTCCGCCGCACCGGGGAAGGTGTAAGTGATTTTTTAAGGGCTTCTCCACCTAGCTGTGGGGGCTAAAGAAGAGACACTTATTTAGTGCAATACTTTGAGGGTGCCTCCATGGTGTGGATGTAGGTCAAGGTTTGACCGAACCACTATAAATCTAATGTGTTGTTTTCTTATTATTGCTTCCGCATTTAATTTCTGCATCATTGGTTTTGATTGTGGTGAATCTTATTTTTGGATTTAAGATTGAGCTTGTTTTAAATACTGATTCACCTCTCTATGTCTTTATTAGCCTTGGGCCAGTTCATAAGGGGCCTAACATCCCTAACGAACTTTCAAGTGGTATCAAAGCACTTTCTAGTGTCATCTGAGCACTTTCACCTCTTGCCATCAAATTTGTTCCGGATGAAATCTCTACAAATTTTCTCCAATTCCATCAACATCTTCATCTGAATAAGAGAATGAGACATTACAAAAATTGGAAGAGAAAGAGCAACTAATTTAATTAAAACCAATATACCAGCTAAGGAAACAAATTTATTCCCCCACGCATTAATTCTTTTGCCGGACTTGTCCAATAAAACCTGTAAGTCCTCCTTCCTTAAACGTCTCAATGCCAATTTAATGACCAAATACTCAAATTCATTCACCAACTTAATACTCATAAACCTGGAAATCCGTATTCTTCTCCTTCTATTCACCGAGCTCCCACAAACCAAGGAAGATTTATGGTAATTGATATTTTGACCAGTCCATTTACAATAATTCTTCATGATCTTTCTAACCTTTTTCATGACATTCACTTTGGCTTCCAAAAACAACAAAATATCATCTACAAATAAAAGGTGAGATAACTTCTGGGCATTAGAAGAGATCCTAATACCCACATCCGAGTCCCTGTTATGAAAGGCATTAGAAAGCAGTTGGGAGCAAAGAATAAAAAGAAACGGTGATAAAGGGCATCCCTAACGAAAGCCACTCTTTCCCTCAATCCAACTAGAATTCACACCATTGATCAAGATAGAATATCTTGGAATTGTAATACACTCCAACACCAAATGAACAAACCTGGAAGGGAAACCCAATTCAAACATCATTTTCTCCAAAGTAGATCAGCACATGCTATCTTATGCTTGCTCCATGTCCACTTTAATAGCCAAGAAACCATTGCAAGCCTTGGAAAATCTCAATTTGTTAAAAACCTCCTGAGCTAGAAGAAGATGATCAGAGATTGACCTTCCTCTCACAAGAGCTGCTTGCTCCTCAGAAATGATCCTGGGCATAACTTCCACCATTCTATTAAGCAAAACTTTAGCAACAATTTTATAAATTGAATTGCATAAGCTTATAGGACGGTAAGCTGAAGGAGTACTGGGATTAGGACATTTAGGAATGAACACAATTAAGGTGTCTTTCCATTCCTTATTCATTAAATCAGTGGCAAAAAATTGTTGTACAGCCCTCACCACATCCATTCGAATAATATTCCAAAAAGCTTTGAAGAAGGAATGAGTAATTCCATCAAAGCCCGGAGATTTATTACTGCCCAGATTGATTATAACTTCTTTAATTTCAACCTCATCCACCTCCTTGATCAACATTTCCTTGTCACGGTCTTCCAACACTATCCATGGTTCTGGCCATCCAGAAAAGATGCAGTTTCTGGATTTCCACTTTCCCTGAAAAAACCTCCTAAATACCTCCTCAATCTCTTTCGGGTCCTCAGTCAGCATCCCATTAGAGTCTTTAACTTAGGAAATCCGATTAGCATTCCTCCTAGAGTTAGCAAAGGAATGGAAGAATTTGGTATTTGCATCACCATCTTTGATCCACTTAGCTTTTGACCTTTGCTTCCACCACGTATTAAGATTATTAACAACAACATTAAGTTCTTTAACCTTAGCTTTAAGTAACCAAATCTTCTCCTCAATCAACCAACCATATCTTGATTCTTCTTCTTGCAAATTTATAATCTCAGCTTTCAATCTGTCTTTCTCCGAGGAAAAATCCTCCATTCTAGCCTTGCTCCAGTAAAATAAATCTTTTAAGGTTCTTTTACATTTTTTATTAAGAATCTCCATATCATCTCCCCAGAAGGTTTTCTTCCACCTACTATAAACAATATGCTCCGCTGTCTTGAAGGAAAGCCAAGTGTCTTCAAACTTAAATCCAGGTCTGCCTTTACAAACCATCTCAAACATCTTCAGAACAATCGGACAATGATCCGAAGCAACTATGGCAAGGTGTCTAACCAAAGTAATTTGGATTTTGTTGATGGCCAAGGTATTAAGCAAACACCTATCATGTCTTTCCAAAATTCGATCTCCTCCCCATTTGTTGTTACACCAAGTGAACCTTGGTCCAACAAACCCAACTTCATCATAATCATTCTCATTCATAAACTTCACCATATCAAAGGATCCTTGATTGAATTTGAATCTCCTACCACCCTTCTTATCTTCCTTAGCCAAAATGCAATTGAAATCCCCTCCAACAATAGAAGGAATATTTTTGTGAGAAGCCTCCTGAATAAAATCCCATAGACACCTCCTTTTAAGAGTCTCCTTGCTAGCATAAACAGTAGTAATCATCCAAATTCCTCTCTTGAAAACATTGAGCTCACCAATGGCACATTGATCTGAAGTTTTCAAAACTGAAAAAGACGCCATATCTGATCTCCATATAACCATAATACCACCAGAAAGCCCAACAGCTGGAAGCAGAAAAAAGTCCCAACCTTGACCCATCATCCTTACAAATGAGTCTCTATCCACAGAAGAAATTTTAGTTTCTATCAACCCAACAAAGAAGACTTTGTAATCTTTGATAATCTCTTTTAAAAAGAGATAGGCCTCCCTTTCTTGGCCCCCCTACAGTTCCAAAAAACAATAGAGTCCATCAAGAAACTCTGGGGAAAAGCCCCCACCTCTTTTCTTCATACCTCCATCTACATTTCTACCTCTTGAACTGTTTCTGATAGGGCCCAAAGCTCTAAGTTCATTAGCAAGTTTACACTTTACTAGATCTCCACTAGAAATAATCTCTTTCTCACTACTCACCGTACACTTACTATCTTCACAGCCTTAAGCATGTCCCATACCATCTGGACTACCAACAGTTAGAGAAAACCCCTCACTGTTAACATGTCCACCACTTCCAGAATTTGTTTTAAGGCAAACATTCCCAATTCCATTATCCTCCATCCCATTCAACACATCAAATTTCTTCAAAATGACAGGAAAAAGAGGGATATTAACATTAGAAATCATACCATCAGTCACTGAAGGTGCCTTAAAAGAATCAATAGCCTCAAGAGCAGAACTTTCTATACATCCGTGGTCCCTCCCTGAAATAGCCACTACCTCTACACCAGGTATCTCCCCTTCTTCTAATTTATTACTAACAGCATCTTCAACCACCTTATCAACAGAATCAACACCTTGAATAGCTTTTCCAGCCACTTCCTCCTGGATTCCACCCGTTTTCAACCATTGTTTCTTTATAGATTTCATTTCCTGCTTCAAAGCAACAGGTCTTCTGTTCATTTTCTTCTTCACCCCGATCCAAGGACCATAAGAGTAATCAATAACCTCTTTATGAACCTTTTCTACCTCCTTAGCTTCCCTAGACTCACTTCCACATAACTCCTTGCCATATTTTCCATCAGTCTTCAATTTACAATCAGATTTAAGATGTCCCACAATTCCACATCCATAGCAAAGAGTTGAGATCTTCTCATACTCAAATCTCTGAAGAACTTCACAGAGATGCTATCAACCCATACTCCTGGAGGAAGACACTGATCCAGCTTAACTCTCACACAAACTCTTGCAAATTCTCTTTTCCCCCACTGGAACATATTACCATCCATCATCAACGGCTTACCAATAGATGAAGCAATACGAGCCACATTCACTTCATCCTAACACTGTAAGGGAAAGTGAGGCATTCTGATCCAAATAGGTGAGGTTAAACCTTTCAATGAAAGAATGAAAAATTCCAATGACCATTTCTCCATCCCCACAATAAAGCCATTGACAAACCAAGGCCCTCCCGATAAAACACCTTCCATCATCTCATTATACTCAAAGGAACAAAGAAAACATCCTTTCCCCAAGGTTGTAAAGTGAAAATTACCAAACATCTTCCACTGCCTCCTTATCTTCCAAGCAACAACATGAGGGGGAATTTCCTTCCCAAAAACCTTAATCACCAAAGAATTCCTTAGTTTATGAGAGTTAGCAACCTCTCTTTCTTCTACCAGTTTCATAGATTTGCCATCTTCCTAGAAGACCATACCCTCCTCTTTAAAATCCAACATAATATATGGCTTTCTCTTCCACAGATTATCATCCACCCCAGCCAATTTCTTCATAGACATTCCATCAGTAACCTTATCCACCTCCTTAGCAACATCAGAAACCGAGCTAGATAAGAATTGAACATCTTTGTTAATAGGATTACAAACATTTGCATTTATCCCATGGCCTAAACCGGAGATTGCATTTGAACTGCCGAACCTGTTAACATAAATATTCATTTCTACAGAAGACGCAGCTGGATCAACAGAATTCTGATAAAAAACTTTACTAACTATAATAGGAGAAACAACTTCCTCTTCTTCGACAATCACCTTTCCCTTACCGGCGACGAACAAAATCTTCTTGACCGTTTCCATACCATTCTCCTTAATCACCAACGGTCCTAAAGGATGAATGAAAGCACCATCTACATGCTTTTTACGAATAATTCCTCCCAAATCTTGATCACAAGAAACCCAATCATCAAACTTACCATCTGTCAAACCCGAATAAGAACGACGACCATCCTTCTCTTTTGTCAAAATCGAACCACTACCTTTAGAAATTCCTATATCTCCTACCGCCAAAGATGGCTGGCGGCCGTCCATTGATCCTCAAGGATCCAATTCCGCGAAGAGCGGAACCAAGCCTAGGAAAATTTTTTTTTAAAACGAACGCCTTCTCTCTCTAGAATCCTGGAGCTTCTCTCTCTAGAATGATTATGATTGGGATCTTCAAATTAACCTTTAGTTATTCTTGTTGTGGCTCTTTTTTAAGGCCTTAATCTCCATTTGCTAGATGGTTGTTACTTCATTGAATGGTCATGGTCTCCTGTGGTTGTTTTGGTGCCTTGACTCAGTATCCTTCAATCTTATTTATCATTAATTTTATATGATTTCATTTTTTTTTTCTTTTTTAGTTTTTATGGGAAATTTCGTGGTCGTGATTGTGTTTTCAAGATATATGAAGCTGGTTGTTATTTTGGGTGATAGCTTCTTGCCTTCGATAAAAATTTCATAGGTTTTTCTTACTTTAATCATTATAATTAGTAGGGATCTTTGGCTCCTAGGTTTAAACATTTTTTTTTCTTGTAGCTCTGTGGAGTAGTGGTGAGTTTTTTTTTTTTTTTTTTTGAGAAAGTAAGTCAATTGCATTAACTAAAAGAATAACAACGATTACAAACTATCACTCACTAACACCAGATTCCTCTTTAACAAATCAACAAATGGCGGAGGAATCTTATTAAAAGACGCATCATCCCAATCAAAGTTACTAAAAAGGACATAGTTAGCACACATATTTGATAACTTATTACAATCTTTATTTACCCAATTAAACATAAATAATTAAAAAAAATTAAGAAAACAAGCTCATTTTTCCAATCTCCATCCAACTCTAGTAAGAACTTGATGATGTTATAATTGTCACCTAATATAATAATTCTTTTGTAGCTTAGTATCCACTCATCTGTGATGTCCCTGATAAGTTGAACCGCCATCATTTCAAGATGAGAACTATCCCAGTGTATGCACAAATGGCCATAAGCTAGAAGTAATCTCCCTTTGCTATAGTAGTGGTGAGTTGTTGATCCCTCTTGAGGACTTGAAATTTTCTAATATATTAACATGTTGCACTATTGGTGGGTTTAATAAAAAAAAAATCAATTAAACCAGTAAATTTCATAATTAAATAAGCATGCATGAGAAAACTATAATCAAAATTGCATCTAATTCTAAATAAATATTATAATGAATTAAAAATAAAATAAAATAAACTAAATCACATTAAAACCTTAAGTTAAAATTTGGTCAAACCCATAATTAAGGGTTTATAATTTTAATAATCCAATAAATAAATTAAATAAATTTAAACAAATTAAATAAAAAAAAAATGTTATCTCTTTCAAACATCTTTCCTTCTTCAATTACCAATATGCAATTATCATATTAAAGTTGGTATTCAACAATTATTTCCTTCATCAAATGGGCGGATGGGCATGCCAAATATTAGAAAATAACCTAATATATTAGATAGCATCCCTGTGATCCCAAAACGATGCAAGGAAAATAATAGCTGGCATCCCTAAAACACAAACTTGAATAATGATATTAGAAGTAAAGAAAATAATGTATCGACAAGAGATAACTAACTTCTCAACTTGTGCTCCTAGAATGAAGAGAACATAAAGTGTCATGGGCCAATAAGAAGAACCATGACACATATTAGAACCATCTAGCCTTGTATCCAATGAACTAGATTTATATCAAGGAAGATCCAATATGTCCTCATTAAATAATCCCAAAAAAGGTTTCCCAACTACCAGAATTACTCCAAATTTTGGCTCCTCTATCTCTACTTGATAAACCGCCACACCTCCCATAATACTTGAAGTTCCTTTGACCCCACCATCTAAATCATCAATCATCTAATTACACCTAGCCACACCATGGCATTAACTTTCACACCTTAGAACTTTGATGGGAAATGATCCCATCTCAATCAATCAACATGAAATATAGGAATACCCAACATGTTCTCTTTAGACAATCCAGAAGACAACAACCCTATAGTTGTGCTGGCTCCTAAGTTCATCTCCTCTGAATCCTCATGAATAAACTTCACTACATCCATAACATTTGAAGTATAATTGACTCCACTACCACTATAGCAGACATATGTTTATAATAAGACTTCTCAGGCTCCCCTGACTTAGCAATCACTGATGAATTCAAGCAAGCATCTCTCGATGAAACCACTCTCATATAAAAAAGGTTATGCATCAATAACTTCTAAAGGAATCTTATTGGCCTCTAGAATTCTTTGAACATTTGATGCCTCAAGTATCTTTTAAACACAAAGAAGCATAATAAAATTGAAGGACCTCCTTAGATACCCTACCTTCCATACAAAGAAACTCATTCCCTTTAACAAAGGGTTCCAACCCCATAACACCAAAATATTTTCCATTCTCATCAGTTGATCATGTGTCTACAGTATTTCTAATAAAATTTCTTATGGAATCCCACATCTGAAGAATTGTATTTAAGAACACCACCTTTTCAATAATTAAAATAATACCCTAAAGATGAATCAATTTGAGAACACAAATAATATCCAAAAGTAATTTATTTTCCATAATTTTCATAGATATGTCATCCAGATTTCCCTTTGAATTGGCAATCTCATGGGAAAAATAATGGACTAAACTTAAACCTGACAGTAAAAGGAGGAGGAAGATTTCAAATTGGCCTTTATCGCTAATACAACCATACAAAATGTAAAGGAAGCAACATAAAAGATTAAACTTTTGAAATAGGGGCCATAATGCTCAACATGTAAGAAGAACTGCTCAAATTCATAATAGGACAAAGAATTTGTTCCTAAAATCTTGTGAATATCATCACAATTCCTTAGGGATAAATCTACCTATATTACATAAGAGGAATCTCCAACATCCTTCAAGAACTCTAAATTTTTCTTATGAACCAAATTAAATCGACAAAAGCACCTTCACTCCCTACAAGAGAACTATTCATAATACCACCAACAACCATCATCTCTAACTAGAAATAACTACATAGCTCACAAAAGATTAAACTTTTGAAATAGGGACCATAATGCTCAGCATGTAAGAATCAACTGCCAG